AAGAGTTCTGAAATAATTTGCATTCAAATAGCTATGATCTAAATGTATTACATTGAATATTATAATTTAAACCCTCAGTTTAGATACAGACATGAAACGTATACTTTGTTATTTCAGCATGTTATTATACTCCCAACATTCAGAGTCTTTGAACTTCTGTCCACGCAATAAAAATTGCTTTAGCTGTTGCTTGTCTCAGCTTTTGAAAAACACAAAGGATAATACTGAGTACAAGAGCAATGCATAAAAAGGTAATTGGAGATTACTGTAGTCTGACTTAGTGATGAAGATGAGTTTTGATCATAGTCATTTACAACAGACTTAACACTTATCGTGACACTGGAAGCTACTGTGCTTTGTTGACATTAATTCGGGGTGTTTGCAGACATGGGAAATTTCAGAGTTGTAGAATGGTTTGGGCTAGAAGGGACCTTAAAGTCTGGTTCAGGGGGTTCTCTCCATTGGCTCTTGGCAGAACAAGGTGCTTTTTCATTTTTGTTTCTTTTAATAGAGAAGTGAGTTAGACATTGGAAGCCGAATGTGAGAGCTTAAGACTTTAGGATCTAATAATATTTCTGCTATACTATATAATGATTGCTCTGGTTGCTTTTAAAGCTTATTGGAGGTAAGGGTTTTTTTATGATGGGTCTCAACTGTCTTCTCTTTCAGAGGTGCCTCTTCAAAGCAAAAGAGCCAGGACAGCTTTACAGGAGTAGAAGCTGGCAACACGGAAAACTGGTTCTGGTTTTGAATAGGAATGAAGCAGCAGTGCACTGCTTTCCAGAACTGCCTTAAATTAGGTTGAAATACCTAATTCTTATTTTACTTTTCCTAACATTAGATCCCCTATCAAGGAATCCTTCTACTCCTTCAAGTGATGGGCTGAGGTGGAGCTATGTTATGGTATGCATGAGTGGGCTGTACAATGAACAACTGGAAGTCAGGCACAAATGGATTTTTTTTTTTCCTTTGCAAACAGTAATGGGAGTATATTTTTCTCAGAGTTGCCTTTTCTTGGTGGAAGGTAATATTATAGTAGGGAGAGGTGATACTCCAGATCAATATTTAAAAACATGTTGTTAGAATCAAGACAAGGCAAATCCTTATAGTACTTAAACATGCAACATGTCACAAATGATATATGTAGGTACTCACTGATGTAGCATAACTGAAATGATTTCTTTTAAGAGGTGATCTTCTACTGCTTAGTCATTGACTGACATGTGGATCGGGAAATGTCATGATACAAATGAGTTGTGGTGCTTGGATTTTTTTAACCTCTTTTTGTATGGTAGCCTTTTAGTCCATCTTCATTTCTGTAGCAGATGTATCAGAAGCTGGCTTTCACAACTGTTATGTCTAGCCTACATCCATGTGGCTTTCCTAGCTGTTTCAGACCTGCAGTTGGGGTGTGGAGTTATTACTGTGATTGAGAAGCACTCGTCTTCTGGTTCTGCCAACTCAAACTGTGCAAATAGGGCTTGAAATTCTAGTATATGCAATAGATACTGGTGTTCACTGTTCAGCTAATTAGGTGCTGTGCTATGCCTTGTGATCTTAAACCTATCCAAGACATCTTCATTCTGCTTCTTCTCTTAAGAAAAAATAGGCCATTCTTTGTTTTGCCTTCCTTCTATGATTCTCTTTTCACCTTGTGCTTTGTCTTCATTCTCTCCTATATCTTTTACTGTTTCATTCCCAAGTTTTTCTGCCATTGTTCTCTCAATTTCCATATCATTCTTCCAAGCTGCACAGCTAGAGAACTTCATTCACCAAGAGGGAAACAAATATCTAAACTGAGTGTTTATGGACGCAACCTGCTGTTGGATAAGGCCAAAGAGAAGGCACCATACACTCAGCTGTTGGAAGCAATATTTGGTTTCTGGGTTTACCAGATTTATCTTGCACTTCAGGTGAACTGTGTCTTGACTAGTCTTTATGTATTGACACATTTACAGAAATAGTGTCTTCATTTGCTTTTATGTAACTGACACTGGATGATATCTGTGAATACTCTCCAGTTCTACAATTCATTCATCTTTAGGTAGACCAGGGTGGGAGATTCTAGTTCATTTGTTAAAACAATATCTTTTGTCACAGGCTCTGTCTTCAGAGATTTGTTTTGGATTTTTTTTTTTTTTCTTACAAAAGAGGTTTGCACCTTTAGATAAAAATTCCACTTCTGCTGTCCTATTCTTCAGCTGTTTGGTCTGTATATTATGCAGATACTTGAAGGAAAGGATAGTCTGAGGTTCAGTATTAGTCTTCAGTGCAGTCAGATATCAGTCATATGCTGAACTTCATTAGGCTTTTCTATGCGCTTGGACTGCTAATTGTGCTGATTTTGCTTGTGAGGCAGCAGAATAAAAATCTGGGAGAAGAGAGATGAAGTAATCAAATGGGATCTTTCTGTAGAACCTTCTTGCAGTTATCTTAATTTTTTTTCCCCTGATCAATGCTACTAATGTTTAACTTCTGACCAGAGTCAGAATATATGTCTTCTAGAAGAAAGGCTTCTGCATTGGACCATGGAAGTATCTTGAGGGCTTAGAAAATGCAGTTCCTGAGAAAAGAGAGTTGTGATACTGTTCTGTATGCGTCCTGCCCACTTGATATGACAGCCCTGTCTAGTTCTGCTTTTGTGGTGGTTGGGATTGAAATTTGCACGGCAGAGATCTTGCCTTGTCTTGTTCTCAACTCTTACAGTAAATTAACTTTTCCCCAAATCCTTTAATCTTTGTCAGGTGGTGGAAGATGGGATCTGGATCTTATTGCTCTTAAAGAAGCTGAAGTTCTTGATGTAAGCAACAATGAAAGTATTGCTAATTTAATCATTTGCAGCTGCTAGTTTCTTTTCATGCCCTACTGGAGATTAAATAACTCATAATCTGTAGTGGAAGGGAAAGTGTTTGTTGAAGAGCAACTTCTTAAACTTGGTGGACTTCTGGTACTTTAGGGACCTTAGTTATGAGTGAGTCCCTTGTGGTTTAATGCCAGACTGTAGGGTGGAGAAATGCCTGTATTAGCTGCTAAATGTTTATAATTCACTGTAGCCATCACCAGTGCAGTAAACTGCATTTAATTATGCTGCTCATTTTTGAAGGGGCATGTGGAATTCAGCTGATGTGGATTCAAACCTTAGAAACAAACTTTTGTGGGGTGATGAGATACCTTGTGGTAAAGAACGCTCATCAGCCCGTGGATAAGGACAAAACTGCTTTAGCAGCTGCCGACCCTGGGCTCCTGCCTCAGTCTCCAGAGCTCACAGCTATCAGTGTAACAGTGCTCAGGTGCAGCGTAACAACCCTGCCCGTGTTGATACTAAACTGTAAATTGTCACATGTTCAACTTCCTTTCATTTTTATGATGAGAAAAGTGTTTGGTTACCCCTTGCTTAGGGTGTCTGCTGTTTCTATTCTCCTTTGTTAATGGAATGAAAATTGGAAGGATAACTTAATCTTGGATGAGTTGTTTGTTCCACTTGCAACGTTTAAGTGTAAAAAGATAACAGATAAGCAAAAGGGCAAACAATTGACAGCTCTTGTTGGTGACAGTGTAAAGAATCTTCTAACGTGTATGATGTCTTCTCAAAATCAATTTTGAAGAAATAAAGCCAAGAGGTAGGCACTTGCATAAACGGCATGTTTCTTATAGGAGAGTGAATGGAAAATAGATGGGCATGCAGCATTTATCTTCAGCTGAGAGGCAAGTGTAGATTTTAAGTAAACTTTGGTTCAATCAGTTAAGAGGCAGCTGCAGTGCAACGTGAACTACTGTTAACCTGAGGACCGTTCTTGAGTAATTACTTCATTCTCCTGGCGGGTGAGATAAACAGACTGCTGTTGGTTTGTTTAGTGATTCAAAATGGATCATTTGGCAGTTGAATTTTGCAGCCTTGTTGTTACTACATTAAGGTCAGACTATTAAAATACCAACTGATATAAACCCAACACTAGTGTGCCTGTGGGAGCTGGAGTCAGGCAGAGCTCAGGAGCAGTGAAAAGCCTAGCAACAGCTCTGTGTAAGGCTGCTACCTTAGCTGTCAAGTTGTGGAGTAGAACAGAAGGAAGGTTAGACAGTCCCTCCTGCCCTGTTCTGGGCATTGAAAAATACATTGTTGTAAAATGAATGTGTTTATCTTTTGATTTTTCTCTCAGGAGAAAGCACACATAATGCCTTGGGAGCTGATAAAATGTTTGCCTTTGCAGAAAGTATTGGTTACCTGTTCAACAACATGCTACTTCCGTTGCTACGGGAAAGCTGGCTAATGCCCAAGTCACACTGGGACTTTTCACTCTCCTCTCAGAGCTCATCAGCGTGGTGAGAAGTCCTGTATGAGTCAAATGGGGCAAAAGAGGTCTAGAGCAGTGTAGAGGAACATAGGCAAAGGTTTAAAATCTTGTTTGGTTGCCAGACAGGGAGGAGTGGTTTGTACTGTGGTGAAATAAGGGCAGTTTTGCTGGAAGAAACTCAATAGGCTAGTGAGTTTTGGGCTGTAATTCATCAGACGATCAAGTGCTAATCTTTTGTGGATGAAGAATAATGGTACTCTCTGTTCAAGTATTTATACAGTCTGCGTTTGCCTCGATTAAATTTGAAACGTTTGGCCTTTTGTGCTATGCTAAAAATGGAAGAATTTTCGATGTTTTCACGTAAGTTGACTTAGTGTGGAAATTGATCTTGGGTAGGTTTAGAGTTGAGGGGTTGAGTGTCACGTTTGTATGTTTATAAGCATTTTCTAAAAGTACAAAGTTCTTTTGTTGCTGTGTCTGGGTGGGGTTTTTCTGTTAGGCTTTTCAGGGCATATTGTTTGCTGACGTGGTTTTGATGTCCTGTTTTTTCAAAGCTTACCATAGGGCTAGATGCGAAGCTTTAATTTTCCTGGGACTCGCGTCTTTCAAATGTTAGCTACATGATGTTGATGGGTTTTGAAATGCTTTTTAATAAATGCCACAGAAGATCCCTGAAAGCCTTTAATGTTTTTTTTTGCCTTCCTCTTTAAGGTTTGGACCCCATGGAATCCCTGTGACCATATTTCCTAAAAGGGAATACAAGGATAAACCTGAAGCCATGCAGCTCCAAAGTAAACCATTCCAAGATGAGGCACAGGTGAAGTGTGAATCTAATGCTGCAGTCCCCGATGACTCTTCTCTCACACAGCCATCAGAACCTAGCATAGCTAAAAGCCTATGGACTTCTAAACCACCTCCTCTCTTTCACGAAGGAGCGCCATATCCTCCTCCTTTGTTTATCAGGGACACGTATAACCAGTCAATACCTCAGCCTCCGCCCCGGAAAATTAAGCGTCCCAAGCGTAAAATGTACAGGGAGGAACCCACTTCCATCATGAATGCTATCAAACTACGACCCCGGCAGGTCTTATGTGACAAGTGCAAAAACAGTGTTGTTGCAGAAAAAAAGGAAATAAAGAAAGGTGGCAATGCAAGTGACTCTTCAAAATACGAGGATAATAAAAAACGAAGAAATGAGAGTGTGACTACTGTGAATAAAAAACTTAAGACTGACCATAAAGTGGATGGAAAAAGCCAAAATGAAAGCCAGAAAAGGAATGCCGTGGTCAAGGTTTCCAATATTGCCCACAGCAGAAGCAGAGTGGTTAAAGTTTCCACACAAGCAAATACTTCAAAAGCGCAGTTAAGTACAAAAAAGGTTCTCCAGAGCAAAAACATGGATCATGCGAAAGCTCGGGAAGTCCTGAAAATGGCCAAAGAAAAGGCACAAAAGAAGCAGAGTGCAACCTCCTCTTCCAAAAATGCACATTCAAAGGTCCACTTCACACGGCGTCTTCAGAACACCAGCTCAGGTTCCCTCCCACCCCGATTGCGTTTAAAGCCACAAAGGTATCGGAATGAAGAAAATGACTCTTCTCTCAAGACAGGACTTGAGAAAATACGGAGTGGCAAGATGGCAACTAAGCCCCAGTCTCGCTGCTCCTCCACCCGCTCAGCAGGTGAGGCCCCTTCAGAAAATCAGAGCCCCTCAGAAGGCCCTGAAGAGGCCAGCAGTGAGGTTCAGGACACGAGTGAAATGCATGTAACTGTTGATCAGGATGAACACCAGACATTGGGCAAGAGAGGCAGCAAAAGCAATATAACGGTTTACATGACCCTTAATCAAAAGAAATCTGACTCTTCCAGTGCATCAGTTTGTAGTAGTGATAGCACAGATGATTTGAAATCTACCAACTCTGAGTGTAGCTCTACTGAAAGCTTTGATTTTCCTCCAGGCAGCATGCATGCACCTTCCTCCTCCTCCTCCTCCTCAAAGGAAGAGAAAAAGCTCAGTAATTCCTTGAAAACGGAAGTCTTTTCCAAAAACGTCTCTAAATGTGTCACACCAGATGGCAGGACCGTATGTGTAGGGGACATTGTCTGGGCCAAGATTTATGGTTTCCCTTGGTGGCCAGCCCGTATCCTTACCATAACTGTGAGCCGGAAAGATAACGGCCTTTTAGTTCGACAGGAGGCTCGTATCTCATGGTTTGGCTCCACAACAACATCTTTCCTTGCTCTTGCACAACTATCCCCCTTTTTAGAAAGCTTCCAGTTGCGCTTTAATAAGAAGAGAAAGGGTCTTTACCGCAAGGCCGTCACAGAGGCAGCTAAGGCTGCCAAGCAGCTGACCCCCGAAGTTCGGGCCCTGCTGACACAGTTTGAAACGTGAACGTGGAAAGTAAGGTAGGCAAGAAATCTGGAGGCTCCACAAAATTCATAGCCTAGTTAGAGAGCTACCATGGAGGACTTGCCAAGTCAGAAGTTGCACTCGGTTGACTGCTCTTTTTATACTAAAGTTGTTCCATTTGTAGCAGTTTCTTGACAGTTAAGCAAATTGAACATGCAATCAAAATTAGCCTAAAGTGAGAACTTCAGTATTTTTCAAGTGAGAATTTTTTTTAAAGGAAAAAACAAAACAAAACAAAAAAAAAAAAAAAACCACCACAGAAAAAACAAACACCTCCTCAAACACCCAATGCATAGGAGCCATAGCCTCAGCTGAAAGGCAGCTTATTTGCAGGGAATTTTTTAGTAGTTTCTACCCAGTATATAACTAGTTGCTGTGTGGCAAAGGGTTAACACAAGGGATGAAAGTAGTAGCTGTGACTTTTTCTTTTTGTTAGGTGGCCCATCAGGGAAGTGTAGAAATGTAAGCCTTGTCTAAATGGTCTTTAAAGATTATTTAAAATAGTCTCTAATGTGTTTAGTCTGGCCAGTGCAACTTGGTTCAAAGCATGCTTGAAGGTCCTGAGGAGACATGCCCCAGTCCACGCAGGCCGGTTTAAATGGCATTAGAAGACTTGCTGAAATTTTTGAGGAAGAATTATTTGTGTGACTTAAAGACCAGGATAAATGGGGTTTTATCGTAGTGACCACTTAAACACTCAGCCTTTCTATGCACACGGGGGCACAAATGTAACACTTCAGGGTCTGAGAAGCTGAGAGGGATGCCTGTAGCTCTAAGACAAAGCTGAGAAGTCGCTCAGTATTTGGGATCAAGGGCTGTTAATGCTGCATAGGTGTGAATCATAACTTCTGGTCTTTCTTCCTGAAGAAATCTTTCAGGCCATTTGCCTGGAGGTTTAGATTAAGAGAGGCTTTGTTTTGAATGTGTAAATAATTGATTGCTGAAATTGGTCAGATTTTCTCCTGACTGGTTGTTCCTAAATTCTTAGGATACGTCCTAGTAAATTACACTTTGTGAATTGTCAGATGTGTAATTGTTGCATTTTGGATGTATCTAACTTCATTTTTTTTTTTTAAGTATTTCCATTTAAGGTATCTGTTTGCAGGTCAGAAAATGAGAATATGTAATTGTGTAATGCTCTGAAATGTAAAAAAACAAACTGTAAATAAAATTGACTAAATCTGAATTATTTGTGTGTGTTTCTCAAAAAGCTTTGAAAAAATCCAGAGTGTTAGAGCACTTTATATGTATGCCGTATTTAGAGGACACCTTTTTAAAAAGTAAATTGTCCTTTTTTTCACACATTCTTAAAGATAACTGCTTGATGCAAAATACTATTGGTCTACTTCAGTTTTAATTCTGAGATTAAGCAATTATCTGTCCCTTTTGTTTCAAAACTAGCTCTGTAGAGGGCTTTCTGTAAAGTTTATCAAATTTTTTCCCTTAATTAGTTTTTGTTCCATATATTTGAATAAAAGACTGTGCATAATGTCACTTATACAGTGGGGAAATGTTTTCGGTTTTCTCCATCTATCAAAGCCCAGTCAGATCCAGTCTCCACTGCTACTTCAGCTTTCCTTGCATGTCTTTTGCTCAATGTTGGGGCATTTTCATGCACCTGACTTTACTTTTTTTTTTTTTTCCTCTAGTTTTGGTCCTTATCTGACCATGTGAGTTACTGTCTCTTCTCCAGCCCGCTCCTGTTTCAGCCTTGCGAGGCCTTGTGAAGAATCCCTCGGTGCTCATCCCCAAACAGTTTTCATCCTGTTTTTTCCATAATTGCCCATGAAGGCAATCGTGACAGATGTAAAAAAATTCAAGCTTAGACTGAGACTAGATTTTAAACAGATGTGAAAATGGGGGCAAGGATTTAATCATCAAACCCTTAAATTCTTTTTAACTTAAGACTAAATTTCATATGTTCATGATACTGTATGTTCTTGCCGAAGCATTCAGTTTCTTATTACCTTTTTAAATCTTTCTGTTGTGTCCACAGAACTATTGGAAGTATAAAGTGTCAAATACGTGGCCATTTAAATTTTCCTCAACTTTACGGTCATCTCTATTAGCTACTAATTAAGCTTCTGAATACTTTACCTTGGCATTCTAGCAGGTACCAAAAAAACACAGGTCAATGCTTTTTGAATGTGATAAACACACAATAAATTTCATAATGTGAAAAAAATAAATTGGAAAAATGTCCTGTTTCACTTCTATGTATTCTCTCCTGCAAACAGAAACAGTTACTCTATTTAAGTAAATAAGCCATACTTTGTTATTAAAGCAGAGTGCTCTTTGAACTCAAGAACCCATGCAGTGTGGTTTAGGTGTCTACACTAGTTCCTTGAGGTCTAGAAACTCAACCAAACTGGTTATAAGTTAGTTCTGAGCCAAGCAGTGAAAGTATTTACATTGTTTATTTTTTCTTTAGAAGACCTGGAAGCTTTGTACTCTTATCTCTTACTATCTAGAGTTAGCATAGTACTAAGGCATACTTAGTCAAAGTTTGCTCGGGTGTTCATTGGTGAGGTGGGAGAGCAACAAGTGTGAGAGGGGTTTCTTTAGGTGGTTCTGTGTTCAAAAGGACTGTTTATGGAAGGCATTTAAAAAGTCTTAGTCCCAGTTTCTAGCTGGTCAGTCTTTGAAGAAGTCTTCTAAGTTTTATAGTGGATGTGTGCTATCACTTCAGACTTCACAGAGCTCAAAATAGACCTTCTTTTTTACAACACCATGTTATATTGGGTAGAAAATATCCTAGTCATACTAGTCCATGATTTTCCTTTTCACGCAGAAGTAGCTAACACTAGCTATGTTTACTGTAGAGAAAATGTTGGGCTTAATGTAGCCTGGTTACCATAAGTAACCTTGGTTATGGCAGCATGGATGCTGCATGTAGATCAGCTTTGAAGGCAGACAAAGCTTACTGCTGCTGTAGCTGTAAATGCCAGAATTCCCAGGCGTTTCTGTGCCTGTCTGCTCCCAGCAGTGCCTCCGCGGCGCGTGGGCAGCTCTTCTGGCGGCGAGGTGCTTCCCTACCGCCGCTGAGCTAGCCTGGGGGTGGAAGTGGCCTTCCAAGAACTCCTGGTGGGAGTGGGCCTGTAGAGTGCATCTGAATAATTAAGCTGTGCAACTGCTGCAAGCAGCCTGTGTCCTGAGAATACAAGGAGCAGTAGGAAGAGTGACTTAGTTTTCTATCAGCTTAATGTAATAAACTGCAAAAGATGTCTTTCTGAATTACTGACATTCCTCAGTGTAGTTCCCAAATATGCATGGGTCTTTCAGTTTAGGGGAAAAACACAACAGATGGTGATGAGTTTCTATTACAAGTCTACTTTTCCTTTGAAGATCTTTAGCTTCTGTTTAAATGTTTTGGGAGAGAGTAGTTATTCCAAAACTTAAAAAGACTTCCTTTAACGCAGGAGTGCTTGAAGGTGTGATTGCTTCATGAGTGAAGCTAAAAGCAAGTGTGAAATGCTTGTATGTCTCTGAAGTGGAGTTCTACAGGAAATTGTACAAATATTTGTTATTTTTCTAATCAGAGGTGTAATTTTATGTCAACACGTAAATGAGATAATAATCCCTGATTATATGGTATTTTCTATTAGAGAGTGATATCTTTAGTTTGAAACCAACAAAACTAACATCTACCTCACCAGGAGGGTTGTGTTTGGTGGGGGGAATTTAGGTCAACTGTGCAAGGCTGAACAGATTTTTCTTTGGCATGTTGTAAAATACTATTTAAAAAAAAAAAAAAAAGTACTTTCTCAATGTGATTAAGTTTAAGAAATAATGCATCAGTGGAAGTGAGAAAGGGCTAAGAGTCGATTTTTGTATTGCTAGCCTTAGGTTTGTTTCTAGTTAACTTTCTTAGGTCCTGAAACTGATTTCTGTTTGTCTTCTATAAGCTCTTGCTAAAGTTGTCAGAGTGGAATGGGAGCGTGAATTTTGGAAAATAAATCTTAGTAGCTAGTCCTCGGTAGCATTATCATCTGTCCTCATGCATGTTCTGTGAAGTACAGTGAAAAAATAGAGCTGTCTTCTTGGCTGAAGAGTTCTGGAGAGGGGGAGGCTGACAATCAGTGAAAGGCTATTTCAGTTCATCTCTTTCTTTATAATTGTACTCTAATAAAAGCCTCCAGGAACAAGCAAATTCAGTCGGTGCATTGGGATCACTACACGAGCTTGTAGATAAAGACTGTGAACTGTGGAAGTTGAGTGAGTTTATGATTAAAGGTCAGTAACGTGGTGGTGTTTTGTCATAAGCTGTTC